GTTCACAGCGAAAGATTCGTTCACAGCGAAAGATCAGTTCACAGCGAAAGATTCGTTCACAGCGAAAGATTTGTTCATAGCGAAAGATTTGTTCACAGCAAAAGATTAGTTCACAGCGAAAGATTCGTTCACAGCGAAAGATTTGTTCATAGCGAAAGATTTGTTCACAGCAAAAGATTAGTTCACAGCGAAAGATTCGTTCACAGCGAAAAATTAGTTCACAGCGAAAGATTTGTTCACAGCGAAAGATTCGTTCGTAGTGAAAGATTAGTTTGCAGTGAGTGATTCGTGAGTTCAATATGAACAAATATTTCATATGACTCGAGAGTCACGAGTCACAAATCTTTCATATGACTCGGGAGTCACGAGTCATATGAAAGATTTGTTCATTTTGAACGAATCACTTGCGAACGACACATCACTAATCTGTACTACGAGTAGAACTGTAGATGCAACTTTATTTTATTTTGCCAAGATGACCTACGTCAAAGACTCGATATTCTCGTTGAAATTCTTTAACTTCCTTCTATCCGTCTATTCATCAGGCTCAAATTGTCCTTTTGATCATCCTGCTTGGAGCCATCGCTAACTATTTTATCGGGACATTCATGCCAACAAAAAACAAAGAACCCAAAGGATTTTTTGGCTACAAAAGTAAGTCCGCAGCTTTTCCTTCCCAATTTTGTTTTTGTTTTATTTTGAGTTGTTGCCTGCGTTAAAGTCAACATCGAACTTTCTCACTTGCAGCCGCGATCTTCATCGAGAACCTCAGTCCGGACTTTAGGGACGAGGAGACATTTTTCTCTGTCTTTGCCATCTTCTTCCCAGCAGCCACTGGGATTTTGGCCGGGGCTAACATCTCCGGAGACCTCACGGTAAGTTTGTCTTTTCATGAGAGAATTTGTTGATAAGTTTTGTTGCCCCCTGCTGTTTCTTCAGTAGTTCCGATGATTTCAGTCCCAGGAAATGAAGCCATTTAAAAAATACGGCTGCCATTTTCATTTGGAATGAATATAGCCTATAGCCTGTGCTAACAGTCTATGATGTCATCCCTCCAGCTGCTTCAGTCGGACATCCTAAAATTTTCCAACCTTTTCTTCTTCTAAAACATTTTCTTTTTCAATGTCAGGACCCTCAGTCTGCAATCCCTAAAGGAACCCTGTTGGCCATCCTCATAACGGGAGTCACATACGTGGCTGTTGCCATCTCAACAGGTTAATGTTCTATACTAGCATTAACGCTAGCTGCATTCAAGTTAGCAACATTCAAGCCCTGCTCTCTGTCGTCAGGATCCTGCATCGTAAGGGACGCAACCGGAGACCACAACGACACGGTCATCGACACGGTCAACTGCACCGACGCCGTCTGCACTCTGGGATACGACTTCTCCATCTGCAAGGAGGGCGGGTGTCAGTACGGCCTGATGAACAACTTCCAGGTGACTGACACGCCGACTGGTCCAACCGACGAGTTAGGGCTAGCGACGTTTACGTCTCTGGTAACTACTGGAGCCACCGCATACGTCGTGGTTGTACGTAGTCAAGCGACCGAAAAGGGAAATTTTAATTCCGTGGGTGTTTTTTTCTTTGCCTCATCAGAATGTCGAAGAACGTGCGTCGCGTACTACGGTGTGACGCTAACTCGAAAGCCCACAATCGCCGGTGGTGACGTCACATCAGAACACAACACAGTCGTCGGCATACGTCAAAACAACCACGAGTAACGAGAATATTTATAAAGAATATTTATACTATATTTGTACATATACATATATATACAAATATATATTTATATTATACTTTTTAGCCATTATTATATTGGAATTATGAAAAATTTGGAAGAAGTACAAATCTGTCACGGACTCTGAGTGTAAATCAAAAGATGGACAAGGGTGTGTGTGTGTGTGTGTGTGTGCGTGTGTGTGTGTAACAGTGATAATGGTGACTGTTGTTTTGAATCACAAGGTTTTCTCTGGCCGGAGACAAAGCTGAATGAGAGCATTGACAACATCCATTTACACACACATAAGACACACATACACACACACACACGCATGTGTAGACGTTCGAACAGACAAAGTCTTGTTCGTTCCCACTGACACTTGCTGTTCTTTTCTTTTTTATTGGCCACGTTTTGTTGCTTTTAACTCGAAAGTTCACTCCGAATTAATGACGCTAACTTCGGTTTTTCTTGGTCTCTGAGGTGAGAGCGAGAGAGCCATTCAAACCGATCCATTTGTGTAACAAAACCATGGCTCCGTCCGAGTCTGTCATCGTCATCAGAAGTCAACAGGAAGTCCCTCAGATTAACAAAGACGTCGCCTTAATCTCCGATGACTAAGACTAGGATTAGATTATTAATCTGCGTGTCGACGAAAGGAAGGTTGAACAACGTTTGTTTTCATGTTCTTCTAGGTGATGAGTCTGGTGTCGGCCTTCGGTCCTTTAATCACAGCCGGGATTTTTTCCGCCACCCTGTCCTCGGCTCTGGCCTCATTGGTCAGTGCCCCCAAGGTCTTCCAGGTCAGAACCCAGAAATCGAACGGTTGATAATGACACGAACGACCGTCAACTGACTCGTTGACTGACCTCCACGTTGTCGCTCCGTAGGCTCTGTGTGAAGACAACATCTATCCAGGACTGGGAGTTTTCGCAAAGGGTTACGGGAAGAACAACGAGCCTCTCCGGGGTTACGTCCTGACCTTCTGCATCGGCCTGGCATTCATCCTCATCGGTAGGCTAGGGTATGATTGAGTTCAACTTTCGTTTCGACATGATCTCGTCTTGTAAATTTTGCTTGAAATTTTTTTTTCCCGATCTCTGTGTTACCGTCTTGATAGCTGAGCTGAACATCATCGCTCCCATCATCTCCAACTTCTTCCTGGCCTCCTACGCTCTCATCAACTTTTCGGTCTTCCATGCTTCCCTCGCCAACTCTCCAGGTAAACTGAACTGTACTGTCACGACATGGGGCAACGCTACGATATATTGAGATATACTGCGATACTATCGTTAGTAAAAATTTAATACAATGCTGTCAAATATCGATATGATATCGTCATGTATCGATATTTGTATACAACGCGTATTGTTTATTGAAGAATTACTTTTTCATTCTGTGATTAAATTTTAAATTGTCCACTCCCACCACAGGGTGGCGCCCCAGCTTCAAGTATTACAACATGTGGGTGTCTCTTGCCGGAGCGGTCCTGTGCTGCGTGGTGATGTTTGTCATCAACTGGTGGGCGGCTCTGGTGACTCTGCTCATCGTTCTGGCTCTCTACGTCTACGTCAGCTACAAGAAACCCGGTGAGGACGTAGTGGCGTCGCATTTCTACTTTCGACGACTTTGTACATGATCCCCCGAACGCTGTAGAACGTGAACGGTGTTGTTGTTTGCAGATGTGAACTGGGGTTCGTCGACTCAGGCGCTGATGTACAACCAGGCTCTGATTCACAGTCTGAATCTGACTGCGGTCGAGGACCACGTGAAAAACTTCAGGTCAGTCTGTTTTTGTAGTCGTGGGGGGGCAGTTGTCAGTGTGTCAACGGGTGAAGCTGATTTAGACCTGGTTATTTACATATAGATGGCGCTATAAACAAATAATGTTTTTATTTTTGACAGTTTGAACACGTGAAAATCATCACTCACTCGACAAGGGACAGAAAAAAGCTCCGGTGTCATTTTCAAAAGTGCCGTCAATAATAAAAAAAATTGTTTGTCCAATCATCATGCAGCAGAAGCCTGCTGAAAAAATCTTGCTATTTTTCGATCCGGGTCGCGGAACCAGTTGAACGATTTGGCCGTTCTTCGTTCGTAAGCACGACACCAATTTGGAGAATTTCTTCTCCCTGTAGTCACAGCACCAAAATTGAAGAAATCGCCTCGTAGGTTAGGGTTAGGCAGGGAATGAAACCGCCGGTAGACGGGCGATTCGGTAGACGGTTTAATAACAAAACGCCAAAACAAACAGGTCCAACGAGCAAAATGAAACGAAGACTAAAGAAAATCTCATACAACAGTTACCAGTACGCAAAGTCAAGAATAACCGTAATGTGCATTTTTATACCTGTAGGGGGAGTGGTTTTCGGCTTCCCAGGTGTGTGTTTAAATGTCATAGGCCAATGGAAGAGAGAGGTTAGGCCTCTTGTGGCCAATCATATTATTGTTATTGTATCATGGTTGTGCCTGCAGTCACCACTATGTGGCGCTGCTGCTCCATGATTCAGCAGTGTTGGAGGACAT